CACACACACACACACGCACACACACAGAGCGACGAAGCATCACTTACTTCTTCATCGTGCCATTTCCAATGCCGAGGTCTGAAAAAGGAAATACAACGACCAGCTGTTAGCCTGCAAATGTTTCCCCCCCCTTTAATGAACACGTGCTTTAATTAGAGCAACTAAAAGCAAAGCATCACACTCACTGCCCACAAGGTTGGCCAGGGAGGAGTCAAGGTCATCTGACACCAACTTCTCTGGCTGCTGATTGGACGGCTGGTTAGAGCCGGCAAGAGTCGGTTTCAGGATACCCCCAGTAATATCTGACAAGACAGAACAGAGGACTGGCTCAGAAAAGAAAAGATATTCGTCACAATGTAACAATGACAAAGACTGTCCGTAACAAACACTTAAAACTGGGGCTTATTTTCTTATTATAAATTCTATTTTTCATGAATTTTAATCCTTCTGTGCCAGCTGACACAGTATTACCTTTTTCGTTAATCTAGTAAACATAAAATTACTACAAATGCGACTAACGTACCTCAAGTGTTATAAAAAAAAAAAAAAAAAAAAGACACTTTTATTCATTTGGATTTTTGTTTTCAGCCCTTTAGCTCAGTTTTTGGCTTCTACCTATTCCTGGAAAAAAAGATATGGCCACAGCTGACAAAAACTGAAATCATTAAAGTTCCTGCAACACTTGTGTTATACCAGAACTAACAAGTATTCAGCAGCCGTGATCAGGGTCCCTTTATTCTCTTTTCCATGCACAACTTGGCGTCAGCTGCCAGCGGTATGGCACCAGCTAGTAGCTAATTAATATGATGTTTCTCTGCAGTTTGGTGTTGCCAGATAGCTTTAAGTGACATTTAGAGATTTTAAAAAAGAAAGAAAAGAAAACAGTTGCTTATTTGGGCCAAAAACAGCGCTATGAGGGCAGAAAAGGGCGAACCAAAACAGTTTACAATGCCAATTACGAGTTCTGCAGTTTTCTCCCCCAAGCAAAACATATTATGTTAGCAGCATCTGCTTTAAAGAAATTAAAGTAACCACTAACAACGTGTGAAATAGTGGGTTTTTTCTTCTTGAGCGATTCAAAAAGAAGAAAAAAACACCAATAAGTGCTAGAGGTGTGTGCCTGTTTCGGACTGATTATATAAATGAAAAGGATATAATGGTCTGTATGTTATGTGGTTTATTCCTTCTTATAAAACAAAGGTGCCATTTTTGTTTAGAGTGCATTGATAATCACTCTCTAATCCTTTCAGGGTTTTCTGGAAACTGTTTTCATTCTCTGTTCAAACAGATGATTTGAAGAGATTGAATTTGTTATTTCATCATTGAAATGCTGCACATTCAGTAAGTTATCAGTGTTTAAAACACTTCTTAAAATCAATTATACCCACCAAAATACTACGAGTGAAAATTTTTCTTAGCCTAACTCTGATTTGAGGTCTATCATCTGTCAGTTTCTTCACTATATGCAATTTTTTGGCTGCTTGCAGACACACAGACAGTGTGGGGTAAAAATAACCCAGAAGAAAAACAACAGTATGTTCCTGCATTGGCGACTTGCAAGATGGGGCTGAGAGCTGCAGGTGTTTCAGCTGCATCTGACGTCAGGACCAGACACAGCTATCTAAAGCAAATAACATGACTTAGTGCAGTTCTAAATAGCAAGATTTCGCTGTTTTTCTTCAAGCAACTACAGCTAAAATAAATGGTAGAAAAAACAAAACATTAATGTGGTCCACTATCTTTCAGATATTTCCTCCCCCTTTTCGTGAGGAAAAAAAAATAACTTTCTTCAGCTAAGTGAAGGACTGTTTTTGATCCATCATCTGCAAACTATAATTAAGCACTGTCTGCCTTACTAAGAGACAAAAAGCTATGGCACTGGTATTGTCAGTTCACTTGAATGTGAAATCCTTACCATCAGAATTGAGGCTACTGCTGCCTGTGGCTTTGGCTCCAAAAACTGACTCAAAGTCCACTTGCAGTCCCCCCGCTGATGGCTGTGGAGGGGCCTGTGGTGTTGAGTATCCTTCAGAGAGATGAACGAGAAGAGTGCTGTAGTTACACAGTTACAAGATGAGAAATACTCTAAAAACTGACCACGGCCTGGACCCAAGGTTTCTGCACCAGCACTTCTAACTAAAGAAATTCTAGACATTTGAACAGAGAGCAGAATAACACAGCTTCCTCTACAGGATGGAAAAAAAAAAGCATTGATCTACTGATGAATGAGGCAGAGAGATGCCTTCAGTACTCTACCTCTGAATAGACCTGCTACAGAAGAGGGCTCAGTGGGGAAGGGAGCCTGATGTGGGAGGTGCTGGGCAATGGACACTGGACCACAGAAGGAGTCTGACACGCCACAGGAAGCAAGAAGAACACAAAGAAAAGAAAGACAGGAAGAAAGAAAGTATTTCAAGGCCAGGCCGAGAGACATGGAGGAAGTGACAGCAATATTACATAAAGAAAGACGAGAGCTAACATGTACAAAAGTTATTAAACTCTTAAGCAAAATTTGAGGTGGATATGTACCGCAGCAACCCAAAGGCAAGCATTAAAGGAATAGTTTGACATTTTGGAGATTAATACTAATTGATCAGACTAGCATATGTTACACTTAGCTTAACATGAAAACTGAAAATAGGTGGACACCTAAAGAAAATGGCTGGTGGTAGATCGGATCAGCTGGAGGAACATTATATTTTGATTGGTAGTTGTTCCTGTCAAGCAAGTGATGCAGCTGTGAGCATTCACAAAAGGTCACATGGCAGCTAGCTTGGTCAGACTTTGCTAAATAGCTTGCTTAATGTCAAACTGTTTTGCTGCTGATGAGAAGCATGAACCAGTGAATTATTATTATTTTTTTACACTGATTGAAAAGACCAATAGTTTCTGCATGTTTTGAAAACCCACATAAAAGAAATGGCTTTTAAATATTTAAGGAAAAAGTCTCAAAGCTCAAAATAACATTACACAAGGCTTTTGACTAAATCCTAGTCCTTTAACCAGGCAAAGAGTATCAACAAAACTGTGATACTGTAAAGAAGTGCCAGAGTTTTGGTTGGCTCACGCTGCAGTCTGAGGGGATTTACAGTAGTATTATTTCTGAGTGACACACTGACTAAAAGAGTTCAAACTGTCTACATTTTGACATAAACTCAAGTGACTTTGAACGTGACATGGTTGTTAGTGCCACACAGGCTAGTCTGAGCATTTCACAAACTGCTGATCTGTTGCAATTTTCCCACACTATCTCTAGGGTTTACAGAGCACATCAGGTGCCACTCCTGCCAGCTAAGAACACAAATCTACAGTTTGCACAGCTTCACAAAAACTGAACAAGACTGGAAAAATGTTGCCTGGATTTGGAGTCTCGATTTTTGCTGCAATATTCAGTTGGTATGGTCAGAATTGAGCATAAACATGAAAGGATGGATCCATTCTGCCTTGTATCAACAGTTCAGGCTGGTAGTAGTGATGCAATTGTGTAGGGGATTTTTCCTGGCACACTTCAGGCCCCTTAACACCAACTGAGCATCATTTCATCACCTGCTGCTGACTACATCCACCCCTTTACAATCACAGTGTACCTGACTTCTGATTGCCGCTTCCACTAGCATAATGGGTTATAGCTCAAATAATCTCAAACTTGTTTCTTGAATAGTTAAGTTGGTTAATGAGTTAAGTGTATTCAAATGACCTCCATAGTCACCAGACCAACCCAACACAATATACTTAAGATGTGGTGGAACAAGAGAGCTGCATCATGGATGTGCTTCAATAAATTTGCAGCAACAGTGTGATGCTACCAGGTCAAAATGGCCCCAAATCACTAAGGAACAGCTCCAGAGCAACGCTGTCACAGTCACTGATCCAACCCAGCAACCTAACCAAACCAAACCCAACCCTAATTTAACAAATATTACCATTTGTTAAAATATTTTCCCAAAATGTCAGACCTTTCCTTTAACACAAGTTTCTGCCTATATTTCTACCATGGATGACAAAATAATGGCTCTTTGGGGGAGGGAGGTGGATTTGCATAGGATCCTATGTTTGCCAGGAAACATAGGCTGTGATGGGGAGCCATCATAGTACCTGAGATGGAGTGCTCTATCCGCACTGTGCGTTTGTAATTGGTTGAAACGGATGAGTTTGTGTCAATAAAGGGATTGTAACGATCTGGAGAATCAAAAATAGTGTTGGTAAAAGAAGAACATATTTCCACTTAAAGCTCTAAGGCATCTTTGCACTACAATGCAACACCAAACTTCATTAAAAGAGCCCAAACTACCTCCATAGCAGGACATGGAGGACCCTGTTTGGTACATGAGAGGCACAAAGAGGCTAAGAAGCTAACGTAATTTGAGCTTGAGCTTCGAACAGGAAGACAGGAAGAGAGAACTGAGATGTGTATAAGCAGACAGGTAATCAACATTCAAACTAAACCAGCAGAGGGAAAACATGCAGGCTAATCATGCTTATAAGAAGCTACACAGAAATGAACAAGCACGACAAGACTTCTGAGAAACAAAATGATTTGTTACCACCAAACACTTCATGACCAGATGTCCTAGAGGAAAAGCTAACACCGTCTGAAGACACGACAGGTAAGTGAGTGGCATCGACAACGAGTTTTGAGAGGAAAGGGTTAAGGTTTGGCATGGAATCATCTCCAGCTTCAGTAGACGTGAAAGGATCTATGCGGGCAGAGGAAAGAGAGAGAGAGACAGAAAAGCAAAAGACAGAAGAAAGTGAAGAGCAGAGGAAGATGTGGGATTCAGAGTCAGACAACAACAAGAGGAAAGCATGCAGAACAAATAAAGTCCAGAAGCAGATGTTGGTTGGAACGTGATGGGAGAGGCGACAGTTCACCTGCCCATGCTGTCGCTGCTGGAAGCCCTGTGGTGCCTGATTGCATGGAGGGCTGGAAAGTAGGCTGCAGGTCAAAAAGGTCGCTCTCCATCTTCACTGCACTGTGGACAGAAGAAAAAAGCCTGGTAAACAAATCCATAATACAGCCCCGGAAACTGCTTGATTATAGTGTTTATCCTGGTCTCTTCTGACAGATAACCATTTGGCCGAAAAGGCTGCTCTAGTGGGGAAGGGTTAACCTTTTTTGTTTCTAAATCAAATATTATGCTTTCATAGCTCTTGTCATATTTAAATGTACACATTGAGCAAAATCACTTTAATAAAACTTTTACTTTGTCATGTGGCTCCCTGATCCAGAAATACATCATCTTATACCACCGACCACCATTAGTATATTATTTTAATATAGAAGCATGTGTTTTCCAACCAGAAGTCTCTCCCTTAAGCTTTTCAGTGTAAATACACTCACTTGCTACTTTATTGGGTACACCTGCTCAGTTGCTCATTAACGCAAGTATATAATCAGTCAATTTCATGGCAGCAATTCAATTCATTGAGGCACGTAGACAAGGTCAAAACAACCTGCTGAAGTTCAAATCGAGCATTACAATATTTCAATGAGCGGCAGTTCCTGGGGCAAAAATGCCTCGTTGATGTTAGAGGTCAGAGGAAGAAGGCAGCAGTAACCTGAATAACCACTCACTACAACTACAGTATGCAGAAGAGCATCTCTGTGCACAGATGGGCTACAGGTAGTAGAAGACCACACCAAGTGCAATTAACGCTGTTCTTAAGCTAAGAACAGAAAACTGAGGCTAAAATTTGCATGTTTCAGAAGACTGAAAAACATTTGTTGTTCAGGAAGTCTTGATTTCTGTTGTAACATTCAGATGGTGAGGTCAGAATTAAGTGTAAACATGAAAGCATGCATTCATCCTGCCTTGGTTAAGTCAGGTGGTGGAGATGTAATGGTGTGGGGACATTTTCTTGGCACACTTTGTGCCTATTTGCACTAACGGAATGTCACTTAAATGCCACCGCCTACCTGAATATTATTGTTGACCATGTCTGTCCCTTTATGACAACAGTGTACTCATTTTCTAATGGCTGCTTCTAGCGCCAATGTGATAATAAACTGACTACACCTCTGGGTTACAGACTGCAGCTGTAGAAGAGGAAGCATTATGAAGGGTGAAACGTACCCGTTATCCTTTCCGTGGGCACACGGTGAGATCATGTAATTTTTTGAATGATCACCAGTCTCAAACCCAAAATCAAGAAAACCAACAAAATACTTTTCAGCTGATTAATAAACTGCTTCAGCTATCTCACATGTACATCCTCTCATGTCATTACTAGCATGAGCATCTCATCGTGGCTGTTTGATACCTTCTTCTGCAACGACAATGCTGGCAAAGGTTCCCTACATGTCCTAATTACTCACAATTTTATATGTTATAAATTAGTTACTGAAGCGCTTTCTTTTCAAGTACAAAATATAGATCTAAGCAGTACCCATTGGAGCAGCTGGGTGTAGAGAAGAGATCAATGGCTGGTGCTGTGCTGATAGTACCCCCAGTGGTGGAGATTGGTGATGTATCAGTCGTGGCAAATGAAGGCCTCTTGGAGAGCTCTTTAAGCCTTTGTTCCTGATGAGTAATGAAGTCCAGTCAAAAAAAAAAAAAAAAAGCCAACGCTGGGGAGATTTAATGCATGCCACGTGAAATAATGTTTCATTTTTCGTTTCAAAAATGCATTAACCTTGAGAGCTTTGAGTCGAGCCTGTTCCTCCTCGAGAGCCGCCTGCTTCTCTCGCTCATCGACTTTAGTGAAAGACATCCCTGTGCTGGCCAGTGATGACACAGCATTGGACAGAGTGCTGGCCCTGCAGGGAAACAAATTCACACCAGATGCAGTGCAGCACAGATAAGTCAGTATGACTGATCTAATATAAATGTTGAGGTAGTTGCTGTGATCCAAGGCAAATATAAGAGGATTTATATACCTGCTGGCTGCAGTGGAATCTTTGACCTTTTTGCCCTCTAAAGAGGCCAAGTGTTGCTCTAGAGCTTCGAGAAGGCTACTAGGAGCCTGTCGTGACAGAGAACATAGAGTCAGTGACTTCCTGAGACAGAAAATGTAGTCTACATAGACATGAAGACCATAAAAGACAGTGGTGAGCAACCAAGATGGAGTACAAAACACCACACCATGAAAACTCAGGTGTAGACAGCCAATTTATGTCTTTGATCTGCACGTTTTTGGTAGCTTTGGGCTATTAGTTACCCACCACTGATCGATAACTACATTCCAGCCAAAGAGCTACTTTGGATGAGAGTAACATCTGTGTGGGATGACGTACAGCACCACAACACTTTCAGCAACCCGGCCGTTGTTGAAGTGGCGGTGTCTAAGCACAACGGGGCAGCCATTTTACAGGAGATGAGCTATGCTTGCTTACACCTCAATAACACGACCAAAAGTGAACAGAATTTTACCACGGCGAGTGTTTTTTCCTTCAACTGTTTTTCACCACGATGTAGGAGACAGAGTCAGAGCAGAGGCATGCAAAAAGACAACACTGAGGCAAGTCACGGACATAGAAGAAGAAGAGTGGAATGATAGTACTTACACAAACTGTGAACTAAAGTGGAAAGATAAGGGGAAAATACAGAATATAAAGGTGGTGACAGTGAGAGGAAAGGCTTCTTAGCTGCAGTTTTTCGGGGGTAAATTATTTATGTAAAACTGGTCCCCCAGAGACGAGCACAACAGTGTGCACAGTTTACTGTAAATTATGAAACATCTGCCACTATGCAGGCTTCAACTATAGTGTGAGGACTCCACACCTTTATTTACTGTCAGAAGAATTAGAAGAAGGTACTGGGGGCAAGAAGAAAAGAAGGAGATTCAGAAGAGGAAGAAAGAGGATAGGGAACTGGAAAAGAGGACCGCCTCCTCTGGCAGACATGCGCCCAAGAAGGAAATCATGCAAAGTGCCTAATTGTAAATAAAATGTGAGCCGAGTATACTATATTCTAGTCTAACAAGGACAATGCTGAATCAAAAAAAGAAAAAAAAAGCAGTTAGAGCTGGCAGTAACAGAAAGAAAAGAAAAGTCTTCCTAATAAGAGTGGAAACCTCAGGTTTTCTGACGCTTACCTGTGAAAGGTCTGGAATGTCTCCTCGATCGATTCCCACCTGCTGTTAGAAAGAAAGAGCGAGTTGTGTTTGCTTCCCTGCACTCACGACAGCAGGAGCATTTGTGGAGATAAATGTAGTCTAATTTACCTCTGCTACTTTCAGGAATTCTGATATCCGGGTCATTCGAGTGAGGAACTTCTTGTAGATGTCCAGACCTTCTTTGCACTGAGTCTTCTTCATGTCAAAGTATTTCTCTGTTTGGTTATATATAAGAAAAAAAGATTGTATTTACTTGTAATGGCCAACAACAGCACAGGATTTACAAAGACAAGGTGAGTCCGCAAAGGTCTTACCAAGCAGGTTGATAATGCCTTCATTATAAGCAGCAAAGAGCCGGATGGAGTCTTTGAAGAGCAGCATGAAGGCTGCATTGATGACTCCATTAGTCAGCTCGTTGGCATTGACCTGAGGGAAAGCAATCAGCCGAGACATTTATCTTTAGAGCTTCTGCACAGCGATTTGTTGACACACAAAAAACAAAAAGTCTGCTTCTGAATTAGGGAAATACAGCAGTCTCGGTGCACTCTGCACACTCCAGATGAGCATCTTCTTACTACACGAGCTGCAGAACCACGGTGGGGGGGGGGTGGCTTCACCTTAAACTCACATTGAAATCGAGAAGGGCGTCCATCTGGTTCTGAATAATGGGGATAGTCTTCAGCAGCTTCTCTGTATTCATGGTCCTCATTACGCCGTCCACTCTGTGTGGACACACGCAGAGTCGGAGCAGGCGAGGGCAACGAGGAGAGGAGAGATGGGGAAGCAAACAGTGCAGATATTAAAACAGACTGACTTATGGGTTTACACTGATGATAGTGCTGCAAATAGTTACTGATAAATCTGTCAGCAGGCTCTAAAATGTCAAAAACAAAACAAAACAGGAAAATGTTGCTGTAATTTGTCACAGCTGAAGGAGATCAATCTGAATTGAGATTGTAATTAAACCTCCTAAGACCCAAACTCTTCCATGGCATGCATTTTTAATTTCTCTTTGATATTTGGGCATATTGGGGCATTGAATGTAAAAACAAAGAATTACCAGATTTTTTTTTTTACCTTATTTTTGTTTTTAAGAAAAATAAGCGCCACATATGAGGATATTCGTTTAAAATTTTGATAGAACAGTAGCAGTATAATGTCCTCGTAAGAGGATATCAGGCCCTTGTAGAGCAAAATTGAGTATTTTGGTCTATCCATCCATCCATCCATTCGCTTCCGCTTATCCTTTTCAGGGGCGCTGGAGCCTATCCCAGCTGTCATAGGGCGAGAGGCGGGGTACACCCTGGACAGGTCGCCAGTCTGTCGCAGGGCTAACACACAGGGACAGACAACCATTCACACTCACATTCACACCTAGTGGCAATTTGGATTATCCAATTAACCTATCCCCACAAGCTGCATGTCTTTGGACGGTGGGAGGAAGCCGGAGTACCCGGAGGAAACCCACGCAAACACGGGGAGAACATGCAAACTCCACACAGAAAGACCCTGGCCTGATGGTGGAATTGAACTCAGGACCTTCTTGCTGTGCGGCAACAGTGCTAACCACCGTGCCACCGTGCTTTTGGTCTAAATAACCCAAAATGTGATGTCCACATATGTGGACGCCAGGTCCTAGGAGGTTAAACATACACAGTTTCAAAAAGTTGTTTTAAAAAATTAAAAATTGAAATCTTTATACTGGAGAAGCCAGAACAAGCAGTACCATTTAGCACAAAGCTCTATTGTCCAGCAAACTGAGTGTCATGTTCCTCCATTAGAACAACAAAAAGTATATACTAAACTTTATTTGTAAAAGAAGTTACAGACGAATTACAACAATTCTGTTAACTCTGCTGTGGAAGTATAAAAATGCTCAACAATTAATCGTTTGTGGATCAACTGATTAATTTATCATTTGCTATTTGACTCTATGTAATTTTAAAAAAAATGGGTTATTACTATTAATTTGATACAAGTTCTGCTGAGACGGCTTAACAGTCAAAAATGCAAAAAAAGAGCCAATTTAGACAACGTATTTAAAGACCTGATCACTATATTTCACTATTTGATGAATTAAAACAACCCAGCTTTAGTCACAATGAGCATTATTATTTGCTTCAGATGTAAACATTCTTTCTTTAAACATATTTAAAGGGAAAGAAAGTTTACAGCTTTTATTGTAGAATAGGAAATCGGTTTCAGTGCTCACCCGCGTTTAACTTTTGTGAAGTCAAAGGCAACCTGTCTGTATGAAACTGCTTTCTCATTCAGGTATCGACTATACCTCCTGATGAATGTAGACATGTCATAGCCTGGAACGCAAGACAGGAGGTGACAAATAAGCATTTATCACAATTTACATATTTTGTTGAAACTTCCACGATAAGAACAAAAAACGTTACCTTGTAATCCACTTTTGTCCAAAAAGTTACTGAGGTTGAAAAGTGTATTCCTTGAAGCCAAATACTGGACAAAACGCTGCAGGAGGCGTGACAACAGTTAAGCCAACATCACTAATTGGTGAAACAGACACTCAAATATTCTGCCATTAAAGTGGAACCAGTTCATTGGCTTGGATCGTAATGGGAATGGGATCAAGTGTCTCACCTCGTTACCGTAGACCATGAGGTGGTGTGTAGTGATGAGGGATTTAAACACAACCACCCAGCTGGTGTTGGTGGTCCTCTCAAACAGCGAGTCAGCCAGTTGGGGAATGTTCACGTTCATCTCGTTGGTGCAATGAATCAAATCTTAAAACAAAAGAGATTTCATACAGTTAAATTACAGTTTTTAATAACTGGAGGCTGTCCAGTGTTGTCTACTGCAGTCTGAATGAGGCATTTTACTGCTTTTTATGGCTTATCTGAAGCTCCACTGTTCTGACCTGTGGCCTGAGATCCCAACAGCTCCCATTTGTCCGCTGATTTAGATGCATATTATGCCAACAAACATTGAATAATGTTCATCAGGAATCCATTCCCAGTGTATCATTTTTTTTTTGTCAGACAGGCCTTATGTTGAACCAGCAAACAGACCAACACCTGCCGCTGTCTACTGTGACAAATTAGAAACTAACAACAGACTTAAAACTGGTCTCCCGTGTTCATCTAATTTCCATGTTTTCCAAAGCAGGTCACTGTGCTCACAGTAGTTCAACTTGTTCACCTGTTAACCCCAACGTTGGCAAATAATCCCAAAAATTGCGACACAGGCTAATTCACATTACTACGTTTTGTGCTGGCGATCAGTCGAGACAAAACTGAAAATGGTGAAGGAAGACTGTTCAAAATGATCTAAAAATGCTGTAAAGACCAACTATGTTACTGATGTTTTCTAATCTAACACAACACCATCAGCTTAACAGAAAACACCATTGATAATACTATATCATTTACAGTGTCCTAGCTGATTGTATTTTAAACTGTTAAGAAACTGTCCAACATATGTGGATAACAGAATTATCATTTGCCAAACAAATGTGACCAACAGCTCTAAAATCTGAGTATTTCCCATCTCGTTTAGTCATTTTACAGTTTAATTTCATATTGTTGGACATAAAATAGGTGAATATTTGATCACAAATCTCCAAGTCCAATACGTGCACCTAAAAAAATTATACTGTGTTGTTGATCTCTGTATTATTAATGGCAGCTCTGGTGCTGTTTCCTCTAACATCTGCCAAGCTTTTTTCTGCTTCACATAAAGTCTATGCAGTTAATTAAACAATCACACCAGTAACTTACAGATCAGGTAGTAACAAAAGGTTCTTGTAGTCCTGAAGTCCTGCTATTATTCTATCCAAAATCCTCTGGAGCAGTGAGGTAAATTGGCCAAATAAGGGTATTTAAGAAAAGCGGTTTTCCACATAAAATCTGCATGATAATGACTAAATCATCATACTGTTGTTTGAGTACAATCAGGGATCACTGCAGCAGAAACCTGAAACTAATCTAGCTTATTACTGGCAGCAAACCGCCCTTCTATCAGACCAGTATAAAGTGCAGGGCATAAGATGTTAACCATACATGTTCTGTCCCACTTCCTCTGATCATATGCTCGCCCCGCACCCATATGCTGGTTGAATGATACTACTCGAAGCAGCCGAGTACATCAGTGCTAATGACCCTGCCATTCACAGAAGCGATCAGACTGAAGGGGTAATTGGGCCTCCATTTCTGTCCTATATTTGACTTTTCAAAAGGCGGGGGACTCTAAGTAGGACAGGATAACCTTCCACAGAAGCAGCAGCAGAGAAGTTAGCATGGGTGGCTGAACTGCCCAGAGAAGAAAACGACGACAGAGAGGAGACGAGGCAGGAGGAGGAGGAAGAAGATGGGGGAGGAGAATGCACTGACAGCACTGTCATGTTATAATCAGCCTGCTAAATGTCCACAGTGGCTGACATGAACGATTTCTAAGTGAATCAATTCACAAGACACAAATGTATTCATGTAACTGTCATGACAATGAGTGATGCCACTGAACTGTGCATTAAAAATAAATCCGCATTTAGTCCTCATTATGCAGTTTAAATCCATGTAACGACAATCAATGCAGGATCAGCTAGAACGTGTTAAAAACAGGGCTTTATTTATGAGAATATTTATAATAGAGAATAATTATTTGCTGCTAGTTTATTTTATCTTGGAAAAAAAATTGAGAGAGAGAGACTATGCGAGCACAATGATATAAAAGAGTATTTTTATAACACTGATTTGTGCCTGTGACCCAGAAATCAGTCTTAGTGTGTCATCTTAAACATGCCTTTAGTCCTAAAATGCATCAGAGTGAGGACAGAGCAACTAAGAGAAAGGAGGCTTTCCACAGGAGCTATAAGACAGGATATAAATGATGAATTAGTTACTTATTGTGATAACTTAAAAAAACAACAATGACAAAAATGTAAATGTGTGTAAATGCTTCCACCATATTTTGACTGATCATTGTGAACTTTTTAATACTGATCTGACATGTTTCATAAAATAAAGTTACATTTTGGCCCATTGACTCAGCGTCACTCGTTCCTCACCTCCACTACTCAAACTAAGCAGTCACTCAGGTACTAATAGCAATAACTAACAGAATTTATTGATTAACTGAATAACAAAATTAATTATCAACTACTCTGCAGATCCTCTGCACACTCTGCTATTGAATTCCCCATTTTTACTTAAATGTGACTTTAAAGTAAAGGTTGAGGTTTAAACTATGAGACACCTTTTTTTTCTCTTTTTTTTTTAAATTTCTGGCATTTTGTGGATCAAACTGTTAATGAGTCCATGAGTCTATGTTAATGATGTCTACTTAAAGCTGATTATGATTACTAGTCAGACAGTGTCACATAAGAGGTGGCTATCAGACTTTGGACTTCTATTTATGAAGCACCTGTATAGTTTTAATAGATTCAAAGTTCAGCTACACTACAAGCTACATTCACACACTTGATTTTTACCACTGTGCACTTTGAGCTCTTCTTCCATTCCACGTACGCACATACTGCCGAGTGCATCAGAGTATTGAAAACTGACAAAACTGAACATTTGGTTGTCCTGTTTACTTTTTCCTTTGATAAAAGAAGTGCCGATTTCATTAACAATGATGCGGACTGTAGAAAAACTTCTATTACATCTGCATTAAACTGAATGATATTTGACATTTGAGAACTTCGACTTTCTTCTTACACTTGAAAACCTCCATTAAAAAAGGTGTCTGCTATATCCAGATTTAAGGACAACCTAAAAAAATAAAATATTTACAGACTACAGCTTCTCAAATGTGTTTTCGGTCTCTACAATAGGCCGCATAAATGATCAGATTCCTATAATGTTCCCTCTGCATGCATCTGGAGCCTGAAACACTCGACCACACACACACACACACACACCTTTACTGTCATTAGTCATGTGTTTTAAAACTTTGTGAAATATATGAATCTGAAAGAATTCTGAGGATTATACAGATTAAAATTTACAGATATTAAGCTAACTGTGGCTTCTTTTACTCGTAATGCACTTTTTAAAAAGCACCACATGTATCGTTCTGGTGTGTCTCCAGTTATTCACAGTACTTTCAACTCTCTAGTGAAAGTAATCCTCCTAAACTTACTCAAAATGCAGACAATTTGTGTCAAAATGGAGATTAAAAATTGAGAAAACATAAGTAAGCCTGCCAACCCAGACGACCGACCTTTCTTAAGTGTCAACATACAATAAGAGGGCCTTGTGGCATTATGTACGCACACACATACAGGTTGTCCTGTGTGTGCTGAGACACATCTCAGTCACGCTGGATTTATGGCTTCTGTTGGGATCAGTCCAACAGTGTATGACTCTGCCAACTTTCACTCATGTCACCTCAGGGGAGTCGTCTGAGCAGAACAACAGGTGTGGAACCTGCAGCTTTACCATCAACCCAAAATACTCACCACAGTTTTAGCTTCTTGAGTCCAAAAACCACTGTGCTGGGTTAGCAGCCTTGAACATGGTAGATAAATATACAATCCCCCCTCCCTCCACACACATACACGGCACTGAACTCTTATGAAGACACAGGGCCTTCACAAAACCATGTTCATTGCTTTAATTTCTGTGGATCAAAATGCAGAAAAATATTACCGCTGCATCTTTAAGTACACACAAGCAGTGACCCCTCTGATGTACTCATAAGTCAGAGGAGGGTTTAAGCCCCTGTGCCTGCGTCAGGGTGCATATGTATTCTTGTCATAGATGTGCCATGTACTGTCCGTGTCCTTTAAGGTACTCCAGGCACAAACTGTGATTTTTCTTTTTTGCTCCTTCAGTGTCACCTCAGTGTATCAGCAGGTATCAAATTACTCACTCACTCCACTAAAGATGAGAGCATTCCTGGAAATGTTGTGCAAGGGCCCACAGCTTCCTGATATATTTTGTAAGGATTTTCTGTATGAAGCAGCAGTCACATAAGCGAATTACGGCTATAATTTCAAGCTATGAGTAAATATAGGAAGTAGTGGGAGCTAAAAGAAAAAAAAGCTAGGTTTACAGCAACTTATATGTAAAACGAAAAGGCTAAATTAACTGTAAGCATAAATAAAGGCTGTCAATTTTAAGATTCCGTAATTACGTTCAAAACTATTTCAAGAAGGCCTGTGGTCAGTGTTTAAACAATATAACTAATCTCCCTGTCATGAGCAAGCGCTAGCATCTTAGCCTATGTAGCCTGTGCTAAAGGCTTTGAGGCCTAATAGCTCAGCTATCGATATAGCTTAGCTTAGTTTCCACTGGGAAAAAAATTCAGTGGTGGTTTTACCCCAAAACCCGTGTGGTGTTTAAAGATACTCACAATCCAGATGTTTCTTTTTCGGGCCCATTATTTCGTGCGTGGTGGCCTTGCATACTGTTTTCGACACGGCGGATCCCGTTACACTGTGCTGGGCTGCAGTTATCCTGTCCGTAATGCTCTGCCCCGACATCTTCGCTTCCAGTCAGTGCAACAAAAGGCTGTCAAAATATGAGGCTCGTCTGGGTTTGCCTTCAGATATGAGCTCGTACGAAAACAATAACAACAGCAAAAAATTAATAAACCCTCCACCTCCTCCTACACCGCTACCTCACCGGACCCCCCCGCTTCACCCAGCTTGGTGGAAATGAAAATCAGAACTAAGGCTATGGCAGGCGCAGACCGAGGGAGGGCGGAATAATAAAGACAAGCGAAAAATGACAACAACAATAAAAAAAAAATGTTCGGTAGTTTATGTATTGTTGTGCCGCTCGGCTCCGTCCAGAATCAGTCAGTTTTTAAGGATGCCGTGATTGCAAGGTCCACTCGCTGACTCACTCGACCCGGATCTCAGCCTCCCTCTCATCCCGATGTGGCACACCAGATCCCTGCGTCTCTCCGCTCGCCTGCCCGCCTGCCTGCCTCCGCCGCTCCTCCTTCTCCTCCGCCTCCTCCCGCCGATGTCGCCGCCGCCACCGTCGGTCGGCTTTACAAGCTAGGACTGAAAAAGAGACCACTGAGGAGGGGAAATGGCGGGCCTGCTTTCCTCTTTTCTGTTATGAAGTGGGGAAAAATACTTATACACGACACACTGTGCTGCAGATCCTGAGTCAGATTTGCCTCCTTAGACACGCCACTAGGTCCGCTGCCGTACAGGTGTGTACAAACTGATCGCAGACCAGCTGAAATAAAGCAGATAGGTTCAGTCAGTGAGGCCTGGATGTCGAGATGAAGCCTGTATTTTGATTGAGGACAGGAGTGTGCAGTGAGAGTTGGACTTTTGTGTTTTCAATATGTACACACTTCAAAGGAATTACTAATACTGAGTTTGAAAAATACATGTGATTTTAATTTATTTAAAAAAAATTTAATGGCCAGTAGGATAAGCAGACCTCCCATTTACATATTTTTCCTGATTTAAACTTAAATGTAGTTTCCTGTTTCGTTTTGGTGTGAAAAGAAGAAGTGGATAGAATTTTATTTTCTCAGAAACTGTTATTATTCCCTGTAAATAATAACGATCAAGTTCCAGTGTGTAAAATGTGTGATTGCATTAGCAAAAGTGTGGCTTTGGTTTGCTAGAGCAAGCATTTTCCCCAGGAATGGCTGTGAGGCACAATGAGCCCAAGGCTTCATGGTAGGTTGAACGGGTGGTTTATCTTACTCCAGAACACAGAGACTGAACAGCTTTAAACTTGTTATGATAACTTCCTCCAGTCCTTGAGAAATTCCCATTATCACTCCTGAGTGACAATCGCCTCATTTATCTGTCTGGTCAACGTGGACTTGTCGCTAAGGCTAGCCATCCTGTCTCCTTAACAGGGGTTTGTTATTTACACACATCCTCAACCTTTACAGTGAAACATACTGAACTAAATAACATCAGTAAATCATAACAGTAAGTAAGGTTGCAACATTATTAAGAAATGAAGAAAAATTCTACACAAATATCCAATCCAACTTTATATATAGCGCACTTTAAAACAACATGGTTGACCAAAGTGCTTTCCATTAAAAAACAGTGATAAAAATTAAAAACCATACAAGATATTTAGTAGTTCACATGTAGTATTATTCAGTTCATTTTTATTTTATTTTCTGTGCCAATTCATAACAACAACCGCCCCAGGTGCTTTCATATTGAAAGGCAGAGTCCTCCAGAAGAACCAGGCTCAAGGAGGGACCACGCCATCTGCTGTGACTGGTTGGTGGAGAGAAAGGAGAGTGGGAGGAGATGAGGACAGAACACAAACTGTGGGGGAGAGTAGATGAAAGTGAATGGCATGCAGATGTGCTATAACCAACAGGAATGAAAAGAGAGTTGTGGAGAAGTGCTCAGTGCATGATGGGAGGTCCCTCAGCAGCCTGAGCTTAAAGGAGCATAACTAGGGGATTGTTCTAGGCCACCTTATCCAGCCCTAACTATAAACTTTATCAGAAAGGAAAGTCTTAAGCTTAATCTTAAAAATAGAGAGGGTGTCTGTCTCCTGAACCCAAACTAAGAGCTGGTTCCATTTGGACAGGGGCCTGATAGCTGAAGGCTACCATGCTATTTTTGGAAACTTCAGTAAGCCTGCACACTGAGAGTGAAGTGTTTTCTTATGGGATAATACAGTCCTACAAGGTCTTTAAGATATGACACGGCCTGATCATTCAGGACTTTTGTATGTATCTCTCTTTCTACACCCTGTTAGTTCTCTCACTGTAGCATTCTGTAGTTATTGAGGAGTCACAAATGTGTGAACTAGTTTTTCAACATCCCTCTGAGACAGAGCTCTAATGTTGGTAGCAATATACAGATGAAAAAAGGCATTTGTGGATGTTTATTTGGTTTATGTTGAAGGACAAAAAAGGTCCCTAAAAGTAGCACTGTAGGCCCAGGTAATGTCATCAGTACAACACCTTCACTTTTATCACAAACCCTGACTCACTCTCCCTGCTTTCCTGTCTACTCTTCACTGTGCCATCTAATAAAGGCAAAAAGGCACTAGTAATAATATTTGTAGTAATAGTAGATGGATAATATAGATGATACAAAACTAACTAATAGTTTTGCCTTCATAAATAAAACTGACATAAATGACTGAGTACCATTTGCATAGCAGTGGAAATGTATACAGGGTTTAATAATAATATAATATGTATAATGTAAAAATTACTGGGTCTAGAATATAACCCTGTAGAACTGCATGAATTGTGTGTGTGAAAGAGATTATCAGTTACATGAACAAACTAGACTCTAACTACTGTTGTAACTTGTTGTGCCAATTTTGTACATCACTCTCAATCAATTAAATGTCAGAAATCACTTCACTATCTTAGGCCATAATGAGGATGGACTCTAGATCCTGGCTGAAATTCTTCAGCTAGAGCATTACTTTGCAAATAATCATATAGCTTACCACAACTCTTATAAGTGATCATTTTCAAAATAAAAGAAAGGAAATCAGTCTGTAATTAGCTAAGACACTTGGATCAAGTAAAGGGTTTGTAAATAATGTTTTAATTGGATTATAACCGTGTCATATGTAGCCTACTGATAAAGGTGAACTGATCATATTTAAAATTGTGGCAGTGGTTAATTGTAAGACTTCTGTGAGCAGTTGTTATGCCATCTCAGATAAAATAAGGAGAGCAGACAGGGGCTCCCCACCATTTTTCCTAATCTGGATACCAGCATATATGTCTTTCTCAGTAAGTCCTTTTTTGAAATTTTGAATAGATAAAAAGGTTTGCTGTCATGACAAGCAGGCAGTTAATAGTGCATGCCGAAAGTACAGTGAAATTGCACAAAAGTGTCATTCAATAAAAGACTTCAACATTTATTAGATAATTAATTATTAATATTTTCATTTAAAGTTAAAAAGCTAAAAAAAAAAAAAGGGTTACCCTGCATTCACTTTACTGACTTGAAAAATGTTCATAAACCAAAAGCATTCACTGTTTTTACAACTAGGTTGATGTGTACAGAAGCTGTTCATTTTAGGTAGTGTTGTTTACACTGTTGAGTTTGGAAAGGAAACATTCATTCTGGTCCAGTAAAAATGTCAAAATCGTGACTTCAGACTTAATACTGTGTCTGTCTTTGAAATGAATTGGTCGGGTATTTTTTGTACACAGACGTAAAAATGGCAAACATATATTTTTTTGAATTACCTGAAATGTTTGATAACAGTGTACTGAGATGCCTCACGTAGTCTGAAAGACGCTAGTATTTTCATAACCTTTAATAAAGTGTCCTTACAACAGAGTCAGTATTTTCTTTTAGGCAGTGTGACCTTTTTCCAGTGTGACTCTCATCATTCATTTATGATAAACAGATTGCTCACTCTGAGATAAACATGTAAATATGTTCCAGTGGTCAGAGGTTAACAGTAATTTCCTGCTGACCATAATCCTCACTGTCTTACATGTAAGTTTAGGTGTTTTCTTCTCTGGATGCTAGTTATAAGAGTTCAGACACCATGATACATGGCCCTGTTCATAGTACTTTTCTGTGAGATGGGTGGTGGGTTGAAGCATTGTCCTTTTATATAGTAAGATGTCAATGAGGAAACATTTCAGCCCTCAAGCATCAAAGCTATTTAAATGACTAAAATGAATAAATGTGATCATTTAAGGCCCCATTATACTATAATGTTTCTATTTTTCACAGCACAGAAACTGCCCCCATAGAGATGGTAATTGACCTCAGACCTCACATACTAACGTAAGTCACTAATAAGGTTGCTGTCCTCATTTTAAGCACAACCTTTGACACAGCTGATAATGCACTCTTCACTGGGCAGGTTTTTCTGATAATGTTCTCAAATAATTCCAATGCTTCATCACCTGTAGAGATCAAGTATCAAACATACATGTCATTTTATGCGGTGTACCACTGGATAGAATTCTGGGCCCACTGCATTTTTCATTAAACATGGCGGCTTTATGGCAGATAGTGCTGGGAATAGGGAAACATGGCTATCTTTAACCTAAATTAACAGTCAGATGACTGCAAATGTTTTAGTAAAAACTTAATGAGCATAAAATGGAAATGATTTTAATTGGCCTGAAAGCCAAATGCAATCAGCTCATAAGTTAGAGAGATTAGCTGACAAGGTATAACCACAAGTTAGGGATCTTTGAGTTATTTTAAGATTCTAACTTAAATATTGCCAATATGTGACTCCTTCCACATCTCTGAAAAACATGTTCATACATTCATCTCTAGCTTACTGGACTACTGCATCGAAGTTTTACTGGATTTCTTTAAAATACTATCAATAGGGTGCAGTTTATGCAGTAGTCTACTGCAAGATTATTAAGTTAAATGAGTAACAAAGAGCACATGAGTTCAGTTTTAGCAGAGCTACACTGGCATCCAATATCCTGCACTTGATTTTAAAGCACTCTTACTTGGATATATAATCTTAAATCATCTTGGATCATCTTACATTTCTCACAGTCTGACACTTTACATTACAAAAACACATTTTAATTGACTTTTAATTAGTGTTTTGACTTTAATAAATTGATTTGTTGTGCTTTTCATTATTCCTCTGTACAGCTGTACCTGCTGGTGATTTAATCCATGTTCAGAGATGCAGAGGATAAGCATATTTTTTCAGTAATATCATATCAGCTTCCTGCTTCAATTACTTCCATGTTTGTTTGTTTCCATATACCTGTGACAGATATTGAAAAAAATGTTCTGATATGTTTAATTATGGTTTCCAATGATTTTTATTTAAAAAGGAGTTAACCCAACTTTTCTTTGATCTAAGTATGAAATATCTGCCTCAAGGTGTCTGCAGCAGTATATTTTGTTACTCTTGGCCTCTTAGCCATTGTTCAATATAAACCATTTTAATAGATTTAAAGTGATGTAGCTATTAAGTAATGTACAATAGTCAAAACATAAACGTAAGTAAAATGTAAGATTTGTAATTGCTTATAGCATTTGGGTTTGGATGTGCTGAGGTCTATCCTAAAGGCAGTCCTAGTCACATCAGAGGGCAACATGCTAACATGGACCACTCTCTGGGGCCTTGCAGGCCATTAAAGCTGGGTCATGTGGTCACTCTTGTCTCTTCCATCCATCCACTCTGATTCAACCTCATTTCCTGCAACAACTCCAAACACGACAAACATGCACACTGTTTGTGTTTCTGTGATTTCCACAGT